GTTCCAATGGTTAATTACCCTCACTGTTAAAAATACTGGCCTTATTTCCAGTCTGAATTCATCTAGCTTCAAATTCCAGCCATTGAATTGTGTTGTACATTTCTCTGCTAGACTGAAGAGCCCATTATTAAACATTTATTCCCCCATGTATATACTTACACGCTGTAATCAAGTCACCACTTAACCTCTTTTTATTAAGCTAAATAAATTGAGCTTTTTGAGTCTATCACTATAAGGCATGTTTTCTCAGAGCACCTTTTTTCCTCATGTAGATAGGACCTTAAAACTCAATGCGTGTTGCATAAACTCACCTTAGTACCAAGTAACATTATCACGTGCTACAATAACAACTATGCATACCGAGATCATTACCATTTAGCTTTATAAAGCATCACCAGTTTGCATGTTTAACTAGTGACTGGCTAGTAAAACTGGTTAGAAACACAGCTAATATGCCACTTTCAGTAGCCATATATTCTTGTATATTCTCCCAGCCACAAATCTGCAAAGCTTAAGTCCTGATCTCTGCTTCATTACCAACAGAACTAGTCAAAGACACGTGTTGGAGACAATGAGGACAAATTCTGCTCTCGGCTCCACTGGTGCAGCTTCACTGAAGACGTTGGTGATGAATTCAGGTAACTGCATTGCGAGCCCAACAGAACCACCGTTATGCACTGAGCAACAGCCGGATATATAGCATTGAACAGTTTAGCTGTGCAGTGTGAGCACAGGACTGTACAGCCAAGATCTCTGGAGTGGGGCTGTTTGAAAAATGGATTTTTTTTCAAATGAACTTCCATGAAACATTTTTTTTCCTTTTTGCCTAACAGAAAAATTTTGAAATTAGATATTTTTCAACCAGCCCTACTCTGGAGCTCTAATCCAAGCTCAGTAGCTTTCTGGTCTCTGCTTCCCAATCAGAAAAAGGAGGACAATTATACTTATCCAATTCAAAGGGCTGTTGCAAAGTTGAAGTAGTGTTCATGATGATTAAGTGCTATGCAAATAATAAGCATATTACTGAGGCAATGATGACTGGGACACAGGATTATTCACCTTAAAGTATGCCATGGATTTTTAAACTTGGATAGACAAAACAGATGAGTAGAAGGGGCCTTGGTGCTGCATCTCATCAAAAAGGATGGCACACTTTCCAGTACACGTTGCCCAAACTCCAGCACACACAGATTAATGTACAAGGCCATTGTTATATCTGGATTTAGGGTCTTGGACCTTCTGGCTCAGATGCAAGATTGCTATCAACAGAGAAACAAAGTAGATGGGTAACAATCTTATAAGGCATACGGTGAGTGGCACTGGACTTACTCATCAGAGATTCAGGAGTAATTATGACCACCGGGTATCACCCACAGTGCTGCAGAATCCTCTTATTTCAGATGCCTTAGTGCCCATACCTTTTCATTTCCATTTTGAGGAATTGCAGGTGGATAGTACTACTGCTGTTCAAGGAGATGTAGAAATGCTACAAGCCCATCAAGTTACGAGACCAGTCCCATGGAGTACAGAGAAAGCATCAAGGTCCCCTAATCAACAGCCAATTAAAGTCAATGGACAGACTGTCATTGACTTGAATGGGGCACTGGATCAGATCTGATCTATGGATAGAGCCTAAGCCTGCAATCTGTCCAGTGCCAGCAGCAGTGGTACCTGGGAGGGACCAAGTACATTTATATGGAATGGAAGCAGCAAAATAACCAAGAACTAGCAACAGTGAAGCTGTTCACACTATCACAGCAATGGAGGGATTGAAAGCTGCAGTTGGAGGAGCAATCAGACAGAACCAGCACGACACCGACATGCACAAAAGGTCTGAGAACCACTGAGTCACAAAAAGGAACCCCAATTAGGCAAAATTACCATCTGCTTAAGCAGCAGACATTGCTATTAACAGTCACTGGCTTAAATCAGCTCCCTGGGAGACTTCCCAGTTAAGCAGATTTCCCGAATAAGTGGAGTGTGTTCTATCCTGGAACAGCAAAGCGATTCAATTAAAAAACTTTAACGTGAAGAAAAAAAACAACTTTTCCAAGTAAGACCTGCATGTTCAATGTTTCAGGGGTTGTTTTATTTTACTTTCAACAACTCTGTATTTATTCCAAGTTTAAGATTCACAACGTTTGGCCAACATGTTCACTTAGCATCACTGTCCCTTCCCATGAACACTATGGCTTTTTTATTCGCCTGTCGTTTACACTGGTTTTACTTCTGTTGTAACTCCATTTGCTTCCTGACTGATACGGAGTGGAGAATCAGAGCCATCATCTTAAATGTGAAGATTATAGTCACAGATTATCAAGAAAATTAAGTTTAATAAAAAAGGCAAGTCACAGGAGGATTCTTACTCTTTTCTATGAACAACCCGACTTGTTGCAATAACTATGTTTTAAAGATATATGCAGGAATTGCAATTGCTGCCTTGGAGTCAGTCTGCACTGGAAAAAAATCAAGCTGATTTCCATCTGCAAATATCATATGATCTTAGCTAGACTTTGATAAAATTAGTTATTTCTGCTTTGAAAGCAGATCTTAATTATCAGTGTATTTGAGGAACACTGAAAGACTTCTCGCATAGGTCATTAGCAGGGCTTGAACTGTAGCCATTCAGAAAAGACTTTTACCACTTGAGCTCAAGAAGTAACTCCATTAGTTAGCAGCAGTAGTAGAGTGTTACCACCCTATATCCATGGTCAGCATCCTATAGAGGAATAGGGGTTATACATATTCAGACCCTAATTCTGCAATGACCTGAATGGTAAATAAAGTTAATCACATATCTTTGCAGGATGAGGCCTTCCATAGTTTCTAAAGGTAGAATAAGATGTACAGCACCAATTCAGAATAGTTCCCTTGGCTGAGATTTAAGTATGTGCTTAAATAACTTGCTGAATTTGAGTCATAGATCATCAGATAATTGTATTAACAGCAGCAAATTAAAAGAAGTTCAATCCGTCTTAAGATAAAACGATTTTCTTGTTTAAAAAGATATAAGGTCTCATTATAAAAATCAGCAGGAACTAGTAAGCATCATTTGGCAGGACAGCTGCTGGACTGCGCACCAGCTCATTAAAAACTATGCTAATACTTCTGCAATTGTTAGCAAAATTCACGACCCACAACAATTAAAATGAAGTAGGGTTGACACAAACGTACCAAATAGTTATCCATGGCTGAGAAAAGGAATTGGCAAATTATAAAGTTGCCAACTCACAGAATTAAATCAAATGTGACATGATAAATTAACTGTTAAGAAACTATTATACTTTGTAGCCTTACAGTCAAGATCAAGGGTTGATGGCTGCCATCTTGACCAACACATTGGGGGCTGAACTAGGGACTTCCAAAGATAAAGCCATGAGCTACTACAGCTGGAGCTAAGAGGAATCAGGTTCTCTTGCTGGCGCTGTAACAGAGTCATATCCTCTGTGGTTTGGGGACAGAGAGGGACTTGTAATACATTCCCCAGTGGTTTACAAAGGTCTCTGAGAAGGAGTTTCACTGTCAGGCTGGGGATACAGCCAAACTGATCACTGCACTCGAAGTACATCAGATTGGAAGTTCGCGCTGTAGAAAAAAGAAGGATCTGAATGGGAAGTAGAACAAGTATTTACACAGCAAGGTCAAGATTTTCAAAGCCATTTCAGGAATTTGGGGAACTGGGCATCCAAATCCCATGGTAGCTTTGAAAATACCAGCTCAAGTCTTTACATCCACACATACATACATACAGGTCTGTCTCATCTTACACGGGGGTTCCGTTCCACGGTTAGCGTGTAAAGCGAAAACTGTGTATAGCCAAAATCCCATTGAGTTCAATGGCGGGCGAAATCGCCCGCACTACAGGTATAGTATTAAAATTGTTGTTTTTCTCTTTTTTTTTTTTTTTGCCGATCGCGTAAAGTTGAAATTGGGCATGTTAAATGCGCGTAAGATGCGACAGACCTGTAGTTAGTTAACCAACCAGCCCGCCCACCCACTCGCCCATACGGGGGGAAAATAACTTAGCTGTTCCTTAGCTTCTTAAAGTTCAGATTCAGTTCAAGTTTGGATCAAAATTTAGGTCAGTTCTCATTTTATCCAGCCCATCCCTAATTTCCTGATGCATTTATTCAAGAGGAATTTAGAGTAAAACTGTCACCGAGAAAACTAACTATACGTAAAAAAGCGTAAGATGGTCTCAATCCCTGAAGAAAACTATTTCCATTGCCACACTCCCATAAGAAATCATGCAGTTCTTTGCCATCTGCTGCGCTGTTACTAGCTGTTTATAACAACAAATCTGTCAAGAGAAATATGTTCACATAAAGCCGATAACATATGCTTTCTATTAACCAATGATAAAGAATATGTTAATGTACTGGAGATTCTCGCAGACTGCAATGTTTAGAGGAAAACAATGAAACAATGGGCCAGATCCTTTGTTGGAAACTTGAAGGGCAGGCAGAGTAGGGCTGCACCATATCAGCTCTATGTTGCTCCTGCATCAGAAGAATTCTCTCAAGTGCCACTGAAGCTTCCTTACAGATCCCTAGATGCTACCAGTGTGGACTATAGGAGATGGAGCAATGCCCAGATTCCCGTGAGCAGCCTTCTCCCCTGGTACCAGCCCCAGACACCTATGCTGAGTGAGATATTACTTTCAAGGTGGAAGGGCTAGTTAATATGTCCAGACTTGCAGTGTGCATTGGTGGACAGAGTTAGAGAGATTTCCTAGTGAACAGAAAGAGGGGGAAACCTACAATGTTTCCCAGCCAGGGCTATGGCAGAAGGTGAGACCATCCCAATTCTCCAAGGAACTCAGAGCTCTCCATCATAACTCACTCTTCACAGCTAGCACCACCAGAGCATGAGCAATAAACACCAGGCTGGTATTTAAACCTGTCCCTGATGGGGTGGGGCGCCATGACATGAAGATGCCTCACAATTGCAGGTTTGGCACCACTGTCTGGCCCAGCCCTGTCTCTAACAGGAACCCACATCTAAAACAGCAACATATCTTGCATCTCTATAAGATATAAGAGTCAGCATAGTATGGAAGACTGAATAGGGATCATTCTGAACCGTATGATCATTCTGAACAGAAATAACCTGTGTTGTGCCAACAAAGACATGCCTTGAAACATGGCAACACCCCAACTTTCCAATTACACTAGAGCCCCACAACTCTAGCCATGGGTACAAAACATTGCTTAGCCTTAACACATTAAAAAATTAAAAGCTACAGTAACTTGATTAATAAATGTTATCATCCTAGTTAAATGTCAGACAAAAACAACTCCAATTTTCCCAGACCTAACATTTCAACAGCATAAAAATAGACTTAAAACTGGTCAACATTTAATGTAGCCCTGTTTTCTGTTATCTCTAGTTTGCCGCACAGCAGAGAATACAAAAAAAGGAAAGAACCTTGACTCACGTTGCTTTTCCTGGAGAAAGCCAGACGAGCAAACCGCAGACTCTTCACCTGCTAAGAAAATAAGACAAAGTGAAATGAGCCTTGTTTACATGAGTCACGCTCTTTACTTTTTCTCATATACTGTGGTGTGCATATCACAATGGGCCACAATTTGCCACTGATTTACACAGTTCCCACTGACTTCAATGGGAATAGCTCAGCAAGCAGAATGATGTTGGGAAATGACTCTACTTTTTCATCCAATACTACTCCACTTGCCAGATTTTTTTTTTCATAAGAAGGGATCATAGGTAGGTTTCCTACCCAGCAGTTCATTTAGTTTGTTTGTAACATCACCCCTTGGGAATTTTTTTTTATCTGACACAAAAATTGTAACCAATTTAGTGATATTATAAACCATCAATCTCCTTTACTTATTTTTACAGAACAACAGTTTGAATCATTTATGGGATGAAAGTTGTAGACAAAGGGGTTTTTCCTTTAGGTCTAAATGGTGCAAAACTGGGACAAGGAAATATGAATGACAACCATCTGCTAGGCTCCAGTTCTGCAACTTCTTCCACATAGACAGACCCCTGACCCCACACAGAGCCCCACAGATATAACTGGTGCTCCACACTGACTTTAGTGGGGCTCCATTTCGGTGCAGGGGTCCACACATGTAGTTTTTGTTGCAGGATTAGGGAATTATGAGACACTTTGCATCCATGGATCTCAAAGCACTTCACAAAGGAAAAACAGTATCATCACCACCATTTTACCAGTAAGAACCACTAACGGTACATCTACACTGCAGCTGAAGGTGCAATTTCCCACTTGGGTAGACATACAGGCACTAGCTTTGATCGATCTAGTGTGCTAAAAACAACATTGTAGCTGGGGCAGCATGGGCGATGGCGTGGGCTAGCCACCAGAGGACAATCCTGTCCGAGACACTAGGTAGGCTCAGGCAGCGAGCCTGTGCCACCATGGCTACGCTATTTTTATCATGTTAGCTCAAACAAAGCTAGTGCACGTACATCTACCCAAGCTGGAAATTACACCCTCCAGCTCCAAGGTAGATGTACCTTAAGGCACAAAGAGGGGAACTGACTTGCCCAGGGTTAGTGGAAGAGCTGGGACTAGAACTCAGGTCTCCCATCCTTGCCCCACAGTCCCTGTGACCCATACTGCCCTCAATGTACTAACCTTTCTAACACACGCACACTTTAAAGTCTAGTTAGTAAACCTCACACACACACACACACACACACACACACACACACACTTTAAAGCCTAGTTAGTAAACCTAACCTCAGTGCAATATATAGTTTTCAATGTTTCAAATAGTCTTATGGAAATACACAGGCCTATCTCCCTGGAAACTCTAATATCCTCATAATGTCAGGTGTCATTTCCATTTCCTGTTATATGAACTTCAAGCATAGACTCAGTTTATATCTGGTACAACCTTTACTAGGGGACTACACCATGCTCTTGAACAAAGATGGACTCAGTCTAGTCGTCTTTTCTATCTCTAACTGCTATGATCCTTTGAAGAAAAATAGTCAACGAACCAAGACCCTTCCAGCCATTCTGTTCATAATTGAAGCTGCAAATTCTCACTCACAAAAGAAGTCCTTTCTTGTTTCCACAATAATTCAGTGTCTCAGTTACCATTTTGTGGTAACAGTAAATATTTGCAAACAATATTGAGCACTACAGAGTACTTCTATGCGCAGTTTTTGGTTTTGCGGCATTTGGTGCACAGATTTTTTTGTCATTTACTGGACGCTTTTCTGCTTGATTCAATTTATGGATTCTGCACATTGGATTTCTCACAGTTTTATATCTTTATAAAACCCCTGTTTGAAGAGTAAAAGCAAATGTAAAAAAAAAAAATTCATGTGCATCCAAAAGTTGAAATAGCTGTAGGCATTACTCGGAAGAGACAGACCTGGCTTCAGTAAGAGACAGGATCATAGTAGATGGACCTGTTAAATAGCATTTTAAAAGAAAAATCCATAGTTTAAATAGCTGCATATGGCAGAAACAAATTCACTCTTCAATAAGTGACAAAGTGCTTAGGCTTTATCTACACACTGGCATAGTTGAAGCAGTATAGAATAAGCTATACTGGTATAAGGGACCTTTATCATGGAATAATTCTGTTCACAATAGGGCGCATACCGGCATAAGCCTTATCAGTTTTTTTTTTAAATATCACCTATTACCAACATAGTTCTATCGGTACAAAAACTGAGTGGACCTTAGAGAATACACACTTGAATCTTTCATATTCCTTTTATCCTTCAGAATGGGAATGGATTATTTATTTGTTTTAAAAGAAATTCAGTCTTACTCAATGGAATTATTCATCACGTAGTAGCAAAAGCTTTTGAAGGGCCAGGAAAGTATATTACTTAATTTGGTTACTTGTGCCATCAACTTGTCAGCCTAGGGTCTAATTAATGGTCCTCTGTGTCTGTCTGACTTGAGAAACTTACTAAATACACATCACTAAAAACCACTAGTAGAAGCTTATCAGGAGCACCTTTTAAAAGCTTAACAGTGCAACTGTGCTGATATAAATTTGTAGTGTAGACCTGCCCCCAGTGAAGTTAATGGAAAGATTCCTGTTGACTTTGCTGGGAGTTAGATCAGGGCCTAAGATAAAAAATTCTCCAGCTGAATTTCCTGAGTGTCAGTATTAGAGGGGTTGGTAATTTGATTCATAGCTTCTCTGACCAAGAACTAAACCTGTGCTACAGCAGTGAGTGTACGGAATCCAGACCAGTAGGGAGGTGACACCAGATCTAATGTGGAACCATAGAGCATGAACTACTATGAAGCCCTTCAAATCTCATTGTCTCAAATTTAAATCCTGCTGATCGACTCCAGCTGGTTTATCACCATATCATTCTTTCAGTTTAATACAGATTAAATGCTTCACCGGTCTGCCTTATCGGGTCTTTAACGGCCAAGGTGACCTCCACTATCAAAAACTGCTAATTTATCAAGCATCAACCAACCAAAAATAATTATGAATACCAACACCCAACAAGCATCAATTACAGACAAATATTTTAACTGTCACAGGCCAAGAAAAATATCATGTCAGCGATATAAACCACAGCTCCTTGCATCTAAAGCCAGTGGAAAATAGTGGATGAGTTCCCAGAGACAATAGCAATTACAGTTTCTCTTTTACATAATCTGGTACTTTCTCCTAGGACCTACCGACTTTTTGGCGATTACCCATTTGGCAGACCTAGTATTCTATAGCCTGGACAAGAGAGAGAGCCATTTCTGGGGCAGCTGCCAACTGCACATTATAATTTCAAGAAGCAGTTTGAACATTTTTCTTTTGTCAGAATTATGACTTTTTGAAAACTTTTGTCAATGCTACAAAAAAATTTCAATTAGTGTTTCAAAAAATTCTGACCACTTCTAATAATTGCTAATGATTGTTTGTATTGTAGTAGGGCCTAACAGTCCAATTGAAATCAAGGGTCTACGGGGCTAGGGGCCATATATACATACATAATGAGGAGTCGTCCCTCTTATATTACAGTGATATTCCCAATCACAAGCCAGCTTCCCCGCATGCTTCTGGGGAAGGGCAGGGTGGTAGCAGCAGCCAGACCTACCTACTTCTGCCTTCCTTCAGGCTCCTTACTCTCCTCCAGCCCTTCCTTGTTTGCTTATAGGGTCTTGTCTGCTAGGGATAATGCTACCCAATTAGCTCCTCAGCTTTATCTCCATTCAGTTAATTGGCCTCCTCTGCCGACTGCCTGTCTTTCAATGAGAGCTCAATTAATATAAACTGGCAGGGAGTGGAGTGACAGGATGCTGAGTTAGCTCCCAGCAGGTACTCTTCTTCAGCTAACATATTTTAAATAGATTTTGCTGTTGCACTAGTGTAATTAGGGAGCCAGAGAGAGTGAACGCCTTGAGGATCAGCCCCATAATGAAAAGGAATCCAGGCCTTTTACCACTAATGGATGGACCAATTGAGAACAGCAGCTCAGTCACCCCTTTCTTTTTTGTCACAGGTCCTCAAGTTACCACAGCCAGCACCTCAACTTTGAAATAGCTCTGCAGCACGGAGCATGCTGAAAAGAACAAGTGACAGGCCCTCTAATTTACAGCAACAAAAAGCTGACACTCTGCATTTTTCATGCTGAAATGGCAAGCGATGAAAGTCTCTTGGCATCTGACATTTGAGGCAAGAAAATTGTTTGAATTAACCTCTTTTCAATCTTCATATTCAATCTCCTTCACTTATCAGCACCTCGTCGGGGCATTTGGTGGATTGCAGCACCGCCAAAGAGCTTGGTCGCAAATGTTATCTACTTTTAGCTTATTGGGGAGAAAATGCTATCTGCAGTAGCTTGTAGGCAGAGGAGTAATTGTTGAGGTGAGCCATCAGTCACTATCCGTGGAAGGGCTTCTGAAGTCTTCAGGAACGTGGCTGTTAAAAACTAGGTCATTGCTCACTTTGTGGCTTGCATAGGCCATGCTTGTTGCTCACACCAGGGGCTCCTTGAATAATTCCATTCCCTCTTTCAACCTCCGTGTGCCATGCTCCCATCCCCCTGAATTTCAGGGACGCCCTGCAACTCTCCCCAGCCATCCCCCTGCCCAGGGTTCTGTGCAACCCCCCATTCTCCATCCCATACTAATGGCTCTGTGTGCATCCCATTCCATTTCCCCCCATGCACTCATTCCCCCCACAGCAAGGGCTCTATGTGTTCCCTCTGTTCCCTCTTCCCCCGCCCCCTAGGTCTCCTTCACCAGGATTCCTCAACTCCTTCCCACCATGGTAGGGGTTTTATCTCCCCCACCACCACTACCACAGAGGGCCTGTCTGCTCCCCTTTCCCATCTCCCCCCCCATGACATAAGGGGAGGGGGGCACACAGAGCCCCTACCAGCATCCCCCAATTCTTCCCTCAACCAGGGGTTGTGTGCGCTCCATTCACCCCTTCCCCCACAGCGGGCTCCCCCATTCTTTACCCCATCCCAGGCCAGAGGTTGTGTATATGCCCCCCATTTCACTACCCTTCTCCT